GAAGAAGAGACAAACAGAAGAAGAGACAAACAGAAGAAGAGACAAACAAAAGAAGAGACAAACAGAAGAAGAGACAAACAGAAGAAGAGACAAACAAAAGAAGAGACAGCCACGCGAGGACGTAAGGAGATCCACCCACCCACCCACACACTCAAATACACGCATATATCTATATATATATTTTTATCTATATCTATCTATATCTATATATATATATGCAATTAGATATAGATATACACACATATATATACATGCACACAAGTACACATAAATATCAATCAAACTATCTATCTACCTATCTAACTATATATATATATATATATATATATTAGAGCGTGAGCGTGAGAGGGACAGAAAGACACCCCAAATTTACATACATATAAATAAAAAAAATATATATACATATATATACATATATATGTATATATATATACATATATACATATATATAATATATATATATATTAGATAAAAAAGAGAAAAGTATAGCCGAAGATCAGAGAAAAGGCGAGGCAATCAAACCTGTCTCTCCACAGCAGACAAGTTGTGCAAGAAATGCATAAGCTTTGACTCCAATCCACGAATAGGGGATCTTCCACATGCTGTAGAGAGGCAATAAAATTGCGAGGGGCTGCGCTAAGTGAGGCGCAGCCTGAAGTAAATGGGCTCTCTCTTCAAGTGCCTCCCATACCAAAGACAACCTGCATGCAAATTAAATAGCAATATATATATATATATTATATATATAATATATATATATATATATATATATTACTATGGGGCAGTAATTAATAATGTAAAGTGGAGAGAGGAATAACATGATAACAAAAAGGAGACACCAAACGAACAGACAGGAGACACCACACTGCAGAGAGGAGACAGAAGAAACAAAATAGGAGACAGCTAAGAGGAGACAGCTAACAGGAGACAGCTGAGGGGAGACAGGAGATAAGAGAAAGGAGACAGGAGACAGGAGAGAACGGAGACAGATAAAACGAGAAGGGAGACAGAGGCAGCAGAA